TGTGTGTGTGTGTGTGTGTGTGTGTGTGAGAGTGTGAGTGCGTGTGTGAGTGAGTGCGAGTGTGTGTGTGGGTTTGTGCGAGTGTGTGTGTCAGTGTGAGTGTGAGTGCGAGTGCGTGAGTGCGAGTGTGTGTGTGTGTGTGTGTGTGTGGGCGTGTGTGTGTGTGTGTGTGTGTGTGGGCGTGTGTGTGTGTGTGTGTGTGTGTGGGCGTGTGTGTGTGTGTGTGTGTGTGTGGGCGTGTGTGTGTGTGTGTGTGTGTGTGGGCGTGTGTGTGTGTGTGTGTGTGTGTGGGCGTGTGTGTGTGTGTGTGTGTGTGTGGGCGTGTGTGTGTGTGTGTGTGTGTGTGGGCGTGTGTGTGTGTGTGTGTGTGTGTGGGCGTGTGTGTGTGTGTGTGTGTGTGTGGGCGTGTGTGTGTGTGTGTGTGTGTGTGGGCGTGTGTGTGTGTGTGTGTGTGTGTGGGCGTGTGTGTGTGTGTGTGTGTGTGTGGGCGTGTGTGTGTGTGTGTGTGTGTGTGGGCGTGTGTGTGTGTGTGTGTGTGTGTGGGCGTGTGTGTGTGTGTGTGTGTGTGTGGGCGTGTGTGTGTGTGTGTGTGTGTGTGGGCGTGTGTGTGTGTGTGTGTGTGTGTGGGCGTGTGTGTGTGTGTGTGTGTGTGTGGGCGTGTGTGTGTGTGTGTGTGTGTGTGCGAGTGCGTGTGTGAGTGTGTGTGTGTGTGTGAGAGTGTGTGTGTGTGTGTGAGTGTGAGTGTGAGAGTGTGTGTGAGTGCGTGTGTGTGTGTCTGTACTGTGTGTGTGAGTGTGTGTGTGTTTGTGTGTGTGTGAGTGCGTGTGTGTGATATTAATCATCCCATAATTCTGACTTTTGCTCATGTTTGTGTGTCTATTAATATATATAATTCTTCCCTCTAACTCCTAACCAGCCGCTGAAGAGACTCACTAAACAAATCCTGACACCTAGTGGATGTAGATCTACTTCCTCACAATATGACACGCATTGCAATATGTCATGATCGAACGCATTATGTATTAATTGAATCATGACTGAAACTGAGCCAAATGTGTGAGAGGCGACCGACACGCTCATGCTGAGAAATTAAGCTTTCGGAGTCTCTTCTAGATTAACAGATCTGTAGGAAACAAATGGACATAAATGAGAAATAAAGATATTTGTAAACATATACTGTATAATTCACATCCTTACATAAATATAAGGATCTAAAGTAATCACTGAGCATACTGATTTGAGCTGAAATCATTGTATTATGTGAGCAGAAAGAAAGAGACTAAGTGTGACATCGCTGGCATCTCTTTGTTTGTGCTGATGTTTTTTGTGTTCCTGTATATTTTGTAATGCGTCTTTCTCTCTGCTTTTCTTCTTTTTCCGCAGGAGGGCAGTCTGTGGTGCTCTGATGGTCCCGGCTCTTCTAGTGCCATGAGCGAGGTATGATGTATTTCATCAATAACTGCACTTATATGCAAGTGCAGATGCTATTTATACTCTACACTCTCATCCACAGATCACTGCCGTTTCTCCAGAAAAGTCACACTTATCTATAAGAGGTCAAATTTGCAAGGAAACGAACTGTACAGCTTTGTGCATGCTTTGGAAAACAAGTCGCAGCGTGTTTCAGATAATAAAATAAATAAACATGACATAAATTCATACACATGAGGATAATACATTTACATTCTCGTGTCGTTTAAGTGAAGACCGCAGCATGGCATGCATACTTGTAGATATGCAAGCAGACGTAATTAATTTCTGATGAAAAATGTCTGTAATCAGGAACATAGGAACTATGTTAAGACTGTGTTTTAAGAACTAGTTTAACCAACTAGCAGTAACCAAGTAGTAATCAGTCTTACTTTATAGATTCGAATTAGGTGACTAACTTGTCAGACTAGTCTAATAGGGGACTAGTCTAATCTGCATCGCGATGCAGACGAGGACCATTCGGTATCGGTTCAGTAATAGACCATAACCGATTATAACGTACTGACGCTTTTCTGACGTCATTTGTCGCGTACGTGCTTTGTCGTGGTAGCATACATTAGGCGCGTTCGGCTTGAAGCGGCGCTGCGCAGAATGTATTGACAAAATTAAATCTTTGCAATGCAGAGAAAACACAGAAGCTGCATTAGAAGTGGCATTTAGATGCATTTACACACTGTTTAATGCAGGACATTAATGTATTTAACCTGCAGTTACAAATGCTTAATTACTGTTTTGATATTTTAAACATAAAACGTTCAATACTGATATTTGAAATTATAAAAAAAAAAGAAAGAAAAAGAAAATACTTTAACTATGATACTAAAACCGCCAGTAGGTGGCAGCAAGTCACTGTTAATAAGTGAGTCATTGCGACTGAACCGAATCATTTAAACGGTTGATTCATTCAGGAACGAAACACCGTCATGTTGCTCAGAGACCAAATTGGAATTATATTTGTTGGCAAAATAGATCAAAAGCAGTCAATATTGTGTCTAAAAAGTAAGTGTCTTAATATTAAATTCTTGTTTATTGAACTGCTGTATAAAATACATATATATTAATTTATTTGAAAAAAAAAAAAGATAGACATAGATCATATATCTGACTGCTTGTATTTATTAACAAAATTGTATGCATGTGAACAGGGATGTAACGATTCACTCAACTCACGATTTGATTCACAATTTATTTTTTACAAAATGAGATTTAAGACAAATTATAAATTAAA